AGAAAAAAAAAAAAAGAGAAAAAAAAGAGAAAAAAAGGTGTGTCCTTATCAACATGTGACGCGACCCCGTTTTTTTCTCCGGTGGGGTCGGTTTTCTGGGGGCCCGAGGGGGGCAAGCAGATTGAAATTGCAGGTCGAAGCTCTACGCCGTCGCCACGGTTTTTGCTGGGCCTATTCTCTGGGCTGTCCAAGGGCCTTCCCCTGGCCACCGACCGACGGCCCTGCTCCTCTTTTCTTTCGTGCACTATTCAGGCCGCTCTGCCCTCCCGCCCCACGTGCATGTCGACGGGCGGCGTATCTGCGCCATCGCCCTAGGAGTCTCTACTCCCGCCTCTCCTCCTTCCCTGCTTCCTTGGCGGCATTGTCTTCCCCGCTCCCGCTCCCGTGGTTAGTGACGCTCAAGCGCACGCACTCGGTCACATCGGGACCTTCTTGACGGAATCTGGCGACGACCACGGCCGGGTACCGTCAGGAATGTCTGAGTTCTATCGCGGCCGAAGTTAATTTGGATTGGAAAAAAAACGAGATTTGTACCCCACCAGTCTGAGTATGCTGTCATTTGATCATTTGACAGGGCGAAGGTGTATGCCGTGTGCTGGTTGGTACCAGTCGGCAGCGAGCGAGGGTTGATCGTGCCACGCAACGCGTTATGGTAGAAGTGGGAGGCGCAAAGTAGGGAGTTCGAGCCCAGCGGCGGCGAGGGAAAAAAAAGGGAGGTGGTTCCTGCAGCGCGCACGAGGGCTGGGGGGAATTGACAGCGGGGGTCTCACCCGCGTGGGCCTCGAGAGGGTGTATCCGCCGGCGCACGAGAGCCGCAAAATTGAAGTTGGTAGGGTCACCCGCGCGGACATGGAGGGGCTCTAGTCGACGGTGATCAGTGAGTCAGAGGGGTGATCGAATTGGGGGAAGAACGTCGTGGCAATTTGAATTGAGAGGAAGAGAGAAGGGGTAGGTGGTGAGGCGGCGAAGAAGGAACCGTGAGTGCCTTATGACTCCAGAGATGGCTGAGGCAGCTATGGCGGTCGACCATGATCCGTACTCGGTGGAGAACTATGAACGTTGTCTCGCTCGTGGGACTCGGCCCAACGGACGTACCTTGTGCGAAGCACGCCCCGCCAATCTCGGATTCGGCAAGTTATTCCCCCCCCCTTTCTGCGCTGACCCCCAACCAATAAATCTTTCACTCCCGTCCTGCCTTTCTCTCTCTCTCTCTCTCTCTCTCTTTCTCTCTCCCTCTCTCTCTGCCCTCATTGAGGCTTGAGGGCATTAGCCACACTACTACGCAGTAGGGCTTTCTTGACTGATTCCAGGCGTAATTGCCGTGAGATGCATGTACGAAAGGCAGTAGTTTCGGTCAGTAATGGATAGGAAACACTTAGTGGAGTATGCTTTGAGTCATTGGTTGAAATTGGGTATTGTCCGCACTTTGTCTTCACCGTCTTTACATTCGTCTGTCTGTGTGCTTGTATCTTCATGGATGGGACTTTTATGGTGGCGAAGGCGAAGGGGATACAGCATCTGCAAACGTTTTGTTGAGGTTGTGTGAAATGGGCAGAGAGGAGTGGAGATGAGGAGTAGGAAGAAGATCGGACCGAAGGCGTAGGAGGGTCGGAGGATGGAACACGAGACTTGTGATTGGGAAAGGTTATAGATCCCCTCCAGTAACTCCAGTTGCTATCAATTGATTGATCGGCCGATTGATTAATTGTTTGATTGATCACACCAATCGATTGATTGGCCCATTGATTGGTGGATTGATTGATTGATTGATTGATTGATTGATTGATTGATCGATTGATGGATCGATCGATCGATCGATTGAGAACAGAAGAGCAAATGTCGGCCTGCGGAAAGAATCAACCTTGAGGGAATAGGTAGGGGAAAAAAAAAACGTTTTTTTTTTTTGGTTTTTTTTTTTTCTGGTTCGGTGGACGAAAGACTTCCGACCCGCCTCGGAAGTTTTGCAAATTCGCGTTCTCCCTCCCCCCTCCCCGTCACCAAGTACCTGGACGGAAGGAGGATGACGGATATTAAGCCAGGGATATTAAGCAGGGTTGGAGGAGGGGATGGGGAGGAGTTGGGCACCGGCTTTGGAATGGTTTTGATTGGCAACTATTGTTAGTTAGTATTTCGGTTGTCCGAGTTATACAAATACAGTGAATGGTTAAAGAACATATGCGCGCACTTGGGCTTTCCTGGACGAATGTGAGCGCAATCAAGGTCACATTCAATCCAAAAAGGGCAAGTCTGAGTTTGCCCCGATGGAGCGATAAAACCCAGACATTCGCACGCATACTGTTGCAGCCTGGATCCCCATTCTACCGTCTTCCCCCGAACACAACGTCCGTATACACGGTATCATTCCGGTCCGATACAGTCCTGATGAGGGTGCGTTGTGTTTGGGGCAAGACGGCAGGCTCCTCTCCTCCTTTTTCTCTGTCATTTACAAGTCCGCGGTTACCCAGCCCATGGCGCGGAATGGTACACAGTCCTACACTAGGCTACCAGAGTGGCCCGGGTCCACTTGCCCGGCCGGGCCAAAAAGAAATAAAGAAATAAAAAATAAATTTTAAATTTTAAATTTATTTTTTATTTTAAATTTGGTAAAGAATTTCGATGTGACCCTGAGGCAAAAGTTGTTCAGTTTATTTTCTTCATAACATAGTTTTTTTGTTGGATTTTTTAGATATTTGTTTTTTTATTTTTAATTTTTTTGGCTGGGACCATCCCTAGTCCTTGCACGGCCGGGCCGCCCGGGAAAATAGGGTGACCCGGGCGGCCCGGCTGGTAGCCTAGGGACTCCTACAGACATCTTACTGTTGGTAAACGGAACATGAGTTCGTATCCTCGTGGAATCATATGAAGACAATGAAGTTAGCGGCTACTGCCGCCTTTCCGCTTTTTTAGTAAAGATAAACTCCATGGTTTTCGGGGCAGATGCAGCAGTTATGTCATTTCCTTGCTGTCGGTAGTGATGGCCGTTCTTCTCTTGGGGTACGTTAAAGACCGTTAATCGCATCCTGATGTGCTCTGTCTCTCCATCGCAATCGTCCGCACATCCTTGTCTCCTCCGTGCCATCAGGGTCAAGCAAGGGACACTCGGCCGAGGAGGCAGTGGTATCATCCCCCAAGCATCCGGTTTTCCCTTCGCTGCATTTGCGCAATCGGTATATCGTCTACCCGCGTCGGCTTCTGCGTCCCCTTCTTCTCCTAGGTGTAGGTCTTTTCCTCCTTCGCCCTCTTTATGACCTCTTTTCTTCTGAGTAACGTTTTTTTTTTTTTTTTTTTTTTTTTTTTTTTTTTGTGTGTGTGTGTGTGTGTGTGTGTGTGTCCAGAATTTTTGGTCTTTTACCACTCTCGTCTCCTCTATGCGCTTTTCACAGCTTCCATTCGTGCATATATATTCATTTCCACAGCTTGTTCCGCTCTTTTTATGCTCAATTTGTCTCGACTGAACTGGGACCATTTTGCGCATATTCTCTCTCCTCTCTCCATGCCATTCCGTCAGTGCGTCTTCTTCTCCCCTACTTCCACGAAGCATGCGTTTCATAGCTGCCGTCTCCAATATTGCGCGCCTCCTGAGAGCTCAACGACTACATTTTGCACGGTGTTTCGCTGCTCCTCCGCACGATTCCTCCCTCCTTCTTCTCCCGTTCTTCCGATGCAAGTATTCACTCGCCTTGTCTCTTCTGCCCTCTGAACTTTCAATCCCTGTGGTTGTTCTTCTCCCATCTTCTTCCTCCCCTGCCCCCCTCCTCTCCCSCCCCCCCCCCCTGGGTTCGCCATTCAATCTCCATTGTCCTCTACCTTGCCCACCATCTTTTCGTCTCGCCATCTGGCCATATAATCACATAAAGGAGAACTGAGGAGGAGGAATGTGTCTAAAATTTCCACTTCCAAGAAGCAAGTTGCTCACATTCTTAAACGCTCTGTCTAATAAGACCTTTCTCTCTCTCTCTGTGTCTGTGTATGTCTCTCTCTCTCTCTCCCCCCTTCTCTTTCGGAGAAAAACACGACGATTACCGGGTTTTTTTTTTTTTTTTTTTTTTGCATCTGTAGCAATGGGGTGAGAATACACCGTCAATCAATCACGATTCCTTTTTTTTTTTTTTTTTTTTTTTTTTTTTTTTACCGTTTTCCTACTCTCCGGCCCAGGGAGCCTTTCAGTCCTCCAATTGCAGGGCCGCTCCGTGGTATGAGCGGCGGCCCTGGTAGTTGCTGCCTGGGTGTGGTGGGTGTGCGACATCGTTGCGACACACTGAATCCAGTCTTATATGAAGTTATAATATAAAGCTTACTTCCCGAAAGCGCTAAACCCTAGACGTTGTTGAAAGCCCTAAACCCTAGACCTGCCAGGGTATGGCGCCACTAGCGTAGCACGGGATAAGTCTGCACTCTATCCAGTGTGGAAAGTGGGGCACTTGAGTATAAAATCATTATTAAAATGACAGAAAAATCTTCAAAGAGGAAACGATGGCGCTGCCCTGCCATTGGATTGGACCCTCTGTGATCCAGAGACGCAAGTAGGCATAAATCTATGACAACACATCTGACCATACCTTAGCGGGGAAAGGCCAAAAACATGTTGTAAGAAAAACTCATGATGACGACATCTATCATATATTACTGTATATATACTTACTGCGTATTTGTGGCAGTGGCCCAAGGTTCCTGATGTCGTTAATCAAACTGCTTTAACCCAACTGTTTGCATTTCTCCTTCCTTAGAGAGCGTCATCAAAGTGCTTTAACCTAAAGCCTGGTCATTATACCTGTATCTGGACTGAAAGTTGCCCTGAATACTGCGTTAATGACCGGGCGTTCTATTCAGGTGAAGGCCGTAGTGGGGCCACACCCCACTACAGGCCATAAGGTAGGTGTTAAACCACCAGTCCCTCCGGGGGCATGGTTCCATCCACTAGCTGGCGGGTAAGGGTGCAAGATGAGCATGAGTGTGACACTGCACGACAGTTGGTGATGGCAGATCGCATGGCAACAATATTTATTTTTAATTAATTAATTATTTTTTTATTAATTAATTTATTTTTTATATGTTTCTTAATAATGTGGCCCAATGAACCATGAATTAGATATTAAACTGATCAGAACAGATACTACACTTGATCTATTTTTAGCCAAAAGGCCGAGAAAGGTAATGCACCTCTTTATGTTAGTTTTCCTTTCTGTGTTTTCGTTTTTTTGAATAAGGCGATCAAGAATGAGCAGAAGAATGAGAAAAAAAAGAAAAGAAAAAAAAAAGAAAAAAAAAAAGAAGAAGAATTCTTTTCACATTTTTTGATTCGTCCCAGACTCAATCTTTTGCCGCCAGATGCCTTGTCCCACTTGCACCGTATAGTCCTCGCTTAGTCTAGGTGTGACCGCGGCGCGACTGCCGTCAACCGTCCGTGGGTGGTGGATCTGACCGTGGGTGGAACCGATACGCTAGTTTGTTATTTGTTATGGGACCGGGAAGACGACCATCTGTGCCACCATTGGCTGATAACGTCGGCGGGCTTCGTTGTGTAGTGTAGTTCTGCTACCCTCGTTTTTTAGGGTAGTAAAACTACACTACACGCTGAAGCTTGCCACAGAATGCGGTGGTGGTAAGGATGGTGGGATCTGGGGTCGTGGACAGCCACACTTGGCATCAGTCTTCCCGAGTCTGGTGTCAGATAGCAAGATGCCGACAAGACAGTCCGGGATGACCGCTCAGCCGTGCTGTAATGGACGCTATCCGACGGCCATCGTTTGTCAGTTACAAATGGGAGCACCCACGACAACTCTCTCGGCGTGGAATCCGTTCTGTGGGCCTAGCTCCACTACTCTCGAAATTTAGTTTTCGTTATTCGTGTTTTTTTTTTTTTTTTTTTTTTTTTTTTTTTTTTTTT